TTGATCAGCAGGCTGGGGAAGCACCTTGGAAGGCAATGTAATCAGGGCTGCAAAGGTCACTTGCACTCTGGGAGCCCGAATTTGCATTCTGACGCTGCCACTTAGCAGCTAAGGGACTTGGGGATGGGAAGATGAATCGCTGTGTTTATGAAATGATGTTGATAAGCTTGAGCCTGCTTATGTCACATGCATGGGAGGATCTAGAATAAGGACCCGGGGCGGTGCTCAGTGGAGAGAGCAGCCAGTGGAACTGATGTCCATGACAGGTTTGGGGGAACTTCTGAGCATCTCATCAGAAACAGAGACAGAGACAGAGACAGAGACAGAAACAGAGTCAGAGGAGACAGAGACTCTAGCTCTAACCCGGGAGCGCCACAGGGGAGACAGAGTTGCAGGGATCAGTCTGTGTGAGAGCGAACAGATCAGGACTACCAGTATGCCCAGAAAACACACACAGCCCTGCACCCAGCCCCTGCATGTGGAAGGCGGTGCTGTTGAAGATTTCTGAACCAGTAATGACAGGGACAAATGTGTCCTTTGAAGACAGAGACCTAGGAGGCTCATGGTCTTTGCCAGACCTCCTTGTATTTGGGTGAGTCTTTAGAATCACCCCAAGAAAAATGTTTTACAAGGGATTTTAATCTTCTTCCTTTCTGTGTTTCCCATATATAGGTCTGGCTTTGTTTTTGTTTCTGTTTTTCCCCAGCCTGTCCCTGTGTCTGAGCCCTATGTCAGTAACAGGTCATCACTTGCTTCCTACCTGCTAGTTATTAGTAAGCACCTGCCTAAGTGTTAAGTGGATCAATGTCAGAGAACAGAGTCCCATGAAATCCATATCTCAAATGTCACACATTAATTAGACTGCATGATTTTTAGTACGATTACAAGTGCCTAGTTTCTTTCATGGAAAGAAATACACATATCCACTCACCTGAGTGCATTTTTACACCTAAGTATAACTGGACAGGTTAGAATCAGCTGCAAACTCCAAGTAAATATCTCTTGAAACAATATCAAATATACTTCAATACATTACATAAAATACAGTTCTTGATTTTTTTTGGGGGGGTGGGTACAGGGATCAAACTCAGGACCCCATGCTTGCAAGGCAGGTGCTTATGCCCCTGAGCTAAATCCCCAGTCCCAGTTCTTGATTATTAAGGAAACCAAGCATCCAGTTAGGGTATGAGGTTAAAACCCCATCCTTCCTCCCAGATCCCACACCACTCTGGTGTCCAGGAAAACTCAAACTTGCCTTTAAAGTGATCTGTTTGCCTTTGTTTAAACCTTGGGCAGGAATCCTAAGAGTGAACTTAATTGGAATGCTGTAACAATGCCCATTGCTGCATCACAAAAGAGCAGCCCTCTGCAGTCTAAAGCACAGTGCTGTTTCCCACCCAAGATAATTTTCCTTGCTGTTTGGAAAGCAGAGACAAAGGAGAAGTTTTAGTCAGGAGTTTTGTTTTTAGTCACGGGGTCTTTATTCTATGCTGCATCTTTAGGGTTCCATTAGTGGACCCTGGTTTCCCTGACTGCAGCTCCCCAGTCTTAATATTTTCTTCCTAAGTACAGTGTGGGGATGTGGTTTGCCTGGGGAACTCCCATCTCCACTATCCAGTCAGCCGCGACTCTTTCTTCTTTTCAATTTCCATAAATGTCAGCAAATGAGTCTTTTCACCTCTGGGTGAAGAGTCAACAGGAAAATCAGTTCTGTGACAAATGAACAGCAACATGATTTTACGTCTGAACTATGGGGCAAAGACTGTTTTTATCCATGCAGGGAAAAACCCAAGGTGAAATTCAGCAGAGAATTACTAATTTACAATCACATTGCCCATAGAAATGCATAGCAGTCAGGCATGTTGGTGCACTCCGGTAACCCCAGGACTCTGGAGGCTGAGGCAGGAGTTTGAGCCCAGCCTGGGCAATCTAGTGATGCAAGAAAACAATGTGGTAGGTGGAACCCAGGTCATGGTTTAAGTGACTGCATATTGAAAAAGTACATTAAAAGATCCACCCATCTGGGCAACTTATCCTCTTGCTAAATGCTATCTCAAAGCCAAAAATGAGAAGGGGCTTAGGATTTTTAGCTCAACTCAAGCAAAGGCTGTGGGTTCGACCCTCAATGCACATGAGTGTGCCCCCTCTTTGCCTGAAGCACCCCCACAATTGGGTGGCTCCTGCTACAGTGTTTGCAAAGTGGATCCATTTGCCACTTTTTTTGAAGGCTCAGATTCCCCCAGTTCTGGCTGGCAAACTTTCATTTGCCCAATTTGGGCCCTAAAGGACACCGTACTGTTGTCAAGCAGTTGCTAATTCTATTCCCATGGAGTAGACCAACATTTTTCCAACTTGTGCAATACAGATGACCCCACTCAAATGAAAAATTATTTCCCTTGACCCACAGCATCTTGGCATTATTTTCAGCAGTGTTAATCACATTCGTATACACACGATTATGTGAGATCGTTTCATCCCTTGGCCTGAGTCAGATTTGCAAATGGAGTAAAAACCTGTAAAAACAAAACAACTGGAATTCATGTTAGGCACAGGAGTTTGTGTGCTCTGTGACATGAGCATGGACAGCAGGAGCCTGGTGCTGATCATGGCGATAATGGGCCTCCTCACATGCTTCAGGGACTGTCTGCCATCAGTCAGCTGGATCTCTGCTCAGCTTTCTGTCCGGACCCCTGGACACTCCGAGAGCTCACCCCATACTCACACTCACTGTCACTTAAAAAGTGAAGAGAATGTATTTGCATATGAAATCCATCTGCTCCTTTCTTACTAACCTGGAAATTCTAAATAATACAGTATTCAGCCTATATCAGCATATTCGTACGGAAGATACAGAGACAGAGAAGCGTATTCTGCATTAGCTTAATGCATAGTCTTGGCTAAGAACATGGACTCCAGGGTTGGTGCCACTGCTTCTCTGTGCTACTGAGCAAATCACCAGACTTCTCTGTGCCTCAGTTTCCTCACCTAGTCTTTGTAGGGCTCATGGGACAAGTCATGAGCTGAGGCTTGCAAGGTGACCAGCAAGACACCTGGCATGGCTGAAACACTCCAGAGTGCTCACTAACTGAATCCCACACCCATCCCTGCCACCCCATGTCCTTGACTCTTTGCATTGGTTTAGAAGCAGCTTGGCGCCACAAGTGTCACCTGGAAGGTCCCTCATTTCCCTGGACCGTAGCACTGGAGACTGACCACAGGCACTCGGGCCCACCTACCTTCCACTGATGCCTGGAGGTCCACTTCACATTGGCCTTTGAGAACCTGTCAATCACAGACTTCTCCTCCACACTGCACTCTGTCTGGGTGCTTCCCTGTCCTTCAATTTGGGAAGCCCCTTTGGCTGAAAACCATCTCAGAGACCTAGTTATGGACTGAGTGTAGGCTGGGCCTTCACAGCTTCTGCGCTTCATGCTACCTTATTGATTCTAGCCCTTGATATCCTCTCCTGCATGTGAGCAGTGGACTCAAGCAGGTTCAGCATTGGCCCTGGGGCACCGGCATCTTGCTCCCGTCAAGGGACTGTCCTCTACCTAGCTGGCACCGCCACTCTGCCCATAGTAGTCTTCTCCCTTCAGTGTTAAAGGACAGGCTGTGAAGGGTGGAAGAGCCTGCAGAGCCAAGGCAGCTAGTGCTTTGAGTGTGGGGTGAGCCATCTCCTTTCCTCACAATTCTCATTTCTGGACTCTTATTTGTAACCAGCATATACACTTTTGAGTAGACAAGAAAACCAGTGTCCTAAGAACCCAGCCATCATGGGCAGCCGGCTGCTGACAGGAGCAAGTCCACAGCAGCACAACCCACAGGTCAGGAGCTCAGTCTGCAGGGGACACTGGGGAGCAAGAGGATGCAGCTGTGCTCGGCTGCTTTCCTGCAAAGGCCAGCACGGGCCTACACCTGAGCGGACGGTCACTGCCTTACAGCTCACTCTGCCTCCCAGATGCACGGCGACTCAGGAAGGCTGCCTGGTGCCTGGGAGCTGTGGGGTCCCCAGGCACAGCCACCCGCGGTGGTCCTGTTTGAGTATTAACCCTGAGCTGGCAGAGGCTCCCAGTGAGGAAAGCCTGAGAGATCACTGATATTGGAAAGCCCTGCTACAGCACCATCAAACTACATGGCGAGTTTTGTTATACAGCAAATTTTTAACTAAAAATTGTTTATTTCGGTAAAAGACACATCACACTTCCTCCCTCACCCCCTACCAGGAGCCTGCTCCTCCCCTGGAACACACTCATGCCTCCCACTGTTTCTGCCACTCCCTGGAGCAGTTCTGGAACTTTCTATTTCATGAATGTGTGAGGCTTGCAAGAAAGCACGATGTATTCCGCGGTAGTTGACCTTCCTCCAGCAACAGAACAGGTCCATAAGACACGGCTCTGTGCCCACATCCTCCCTGTCCACTGGATGTGACACCAGGCAACTTCCGGCTCTTCCTCAAAGTCCAAATGACCATTAAAGGGCAGCACTGTGCATCCATTCAGGACCCCGAGGCCACCAGGGCAGTGCAGCCTCAGACCCTCAGGAAAGAGGACCCCAGAGCCACTGTGGGAAGCGGGGAGGACAGTGGGAAGAGCGTGCGCAAAGGAAGGAGAAGCTAGGCGGGGGAGGAATTGCTGTGCCTTTTACTGTGGTGATTTTTAATACTTAAACACTCACTGTGTTTACTGCAGGCAGATTAGATAAAGAAATGTGCAGGTTGCTCTTGGAGTGGACATAAGGACCAAGCACAGGGCGAGCAGGCTGGGCTCCTTCCTGGGCCACCGGGCAGGGTAACTCCGGCAACCCCCCACACCTGCCTCTTCCCGCTCTCCTGCAGTGGGTGGCGACTACCTCCCTCCCTGTCCTTCCTATCAGCCTTGGGCAGGAGGACTAGAGATGAGGGCCACCTCTGTCCACCCAGCGCCAACCCTCCTGGCCAAATGTTGTGACCACCACCAGGCTAGCCACCCGTGCTGACACCTCCCTTGTCCTCTGTCCTCCAGGTCATCCATCAGCTGCGGCTCTCTGAGAATGAGAGTGTGGCCCTGCAGGAGCTTCTAGACTGGAGGCGGAAGCTCTGTGAGGAGAGGGACTGGCAGGAAGCCCTGCAGCCCCACGAGCCCCGCGCACCCCCGCCACCCCCCTGCAAGAAGCCCACCCTCCTGAGGAAGCCTGAAGGGGCCTCCTGCAGCCACCTGCCCTCCAAGCTCTGGGACACCACCATGTAGGTGGCCTGGGCTGCAGACACAGAATCACGAGGCTACCTTGGGGGACATGCTGGGGCCTCTCCCAGTGCACTGATCAGAGAAAGCACAGGACACCGACACTCTGACACTCCAATCAGACACATTTCCTGCGTGCGTGTGTGCGTGTGTTTTCTTTCCTGTTCTGTGATTTTTCAGGTTCCACGTTTATAGGGCTGCACTGTCCACAGGTGGGGACAGAAAAGCCAAGAGTGTGTGAGATGAGGGACAGTGGCAGGGAGCAGTGACCAAGGACCCTCGTGCCTGGGTACAGTGGTTCCCTAGAGCTGGATGACAACGCCGTGGCTTCGTCCTTGCTGTGGTTTTGTGATGACCCCGTGCACAGGACTCATTTCTTTTCCTTCTCTGTGGCCGTGCGTGTTTTGTTCCAATTCCAGTCCCGATAACCATCTACACGTGGATGACTGTTTTATAACTCGATGCAATTGGTGGTGCTCCCTTGATTTCAAATATGGATTTTAAAATGCCATTTCTGGACATTTCTCCTCCACACATGTTGTTTTTTTAACCTAAAGTACCCAACCCCCTGGGGACCGTGTTGTTGCTCAGCTTTGCAATGTCACTCTGGGCTGACCCTGAGGTGTTTTAGAGCTCACTGTCTGTGGGGACAGCTCTGTCCTTCCACCAGCCTCCACGTTGGGTAAGCAACTCGTGCGCCCCTCAGCAAAACCCCTGCCCCACCCAGCTTTGCTATAGGCTCCCAGAAGTTCTGGGTGCCCAGTTACTCGTGTGTGGCTTCAGCTTCACTGTGGGTGGTGCGTGAGGTCACCCCAAGGCCACGCAGTGTGGATCATGGCTCAGCCTGCTGGTTGGAGCAGTGGTGCTGCCTCTCAGGTCTGTCCCCCATCCCAGCGACGCTGCATGATCCTCGCACTGTGTCCCTACCCTTCTGTCACCCAGTGGCTCTGCTTCTGCTTCTCTGTGCACTTCCATCCCTTGGGGGCTTCTTGGCAGTGGCTCCGGACCACCCATCTTGCCACTTGGAACTTGGAACTTTTTATTCATACCAGCCTTTGGGACACAACTCTGTCAATAAAAGGGTGCAACTCTGCTGCTATGGTGTGTTTTGCTTGGTGGCGGGGTTGGAATCTTCTGGGATCACAAGAGTTCCGGAGCAGCTGTGTGGTGACAAGGATGGAGCTCACCCCACCTCTGGTTTGTCCACACAGTCGCTTGCAAGCTCCAGATGCTGAGCACTTTGTTCTGTAAGCTAAGTGTACCTTGTAGATGGCTGTCTGGGCAAGGTAAGACTAATAGCTCAGCAGGCTGCTGACATCAGAAAGATCGTTCGCTAGATCCAGCAGCCCCCAGGGAAGTGGGCATGCAGGGCCATGGAAGAACCACGCAGAGCAAAAGCAGGCATGGTCAGAAGGCAGAGGGAGGGTCTCACCCTTTCTAGCCCCTGAGACACAGCACCCCACAAACACAACTGAAAGGAGGAGAAGGTTACTTTGACTGCATTTTTAGTTCAAGGCAGAAGGGTCTGGCAGAAGAATGCTGCTCATGTCATGAACACCAGGAAGCAGCGGGCAGAGGGGGAGCTGTGGACAAGAATGCACCCTTCCAGGTCACAATCATGGTCACTCTTGAATTCTTCCCACAATTCTAGTCACGAACTAGTTAGAGGAGAACCGAGTCAGATTTGATGGTTAAAGTCAAGGCTGACCGTATAAGGAAATTTGATTCAGTTCTAATGCAGTTCACTTTGCAGGAAAAGAACTGAGTTTCTGATACCACTGAGGAACCTCTGTTGTTCTAACCCACAGGAAGGGAGGTGCCACAGTTCTCCCTGAGCTGCAGAAGGAGCAGAAGGCGAGGGCAGACAGAGGATGTGGCCTCTGCAGGATTAAATGCTGTAGCTGACCCCGGATGCCTGATCCCTTGCCCCCAGGGAGACAAGGCTGGGAGTAGGGGTTTGAGAGGGGGCTGGCCCCGTGAGGTCAGCACATGTGGAGGGCTGTGGGTTCTGGTTGGCTGGGCTGCCTTTGGAAAGAGAGCTCAAGATGCTTGAGGGACAGTGCCTGGGCACTGCAGACCAGCAGTCGGCATGGCCATCCTCCCAGGTCAGAGGGCTTGAGGCCAAGGCATCAGAACAGACAGAACCATAAACAGTTGGGGGCTGGCCAGTGAGGTGTCCCTGTGCTGTCCATCCCCAGTGAGGATGTGTGGGGCTCACCTGCAGCCACAGAGGAGCCAGGTCACCTCAGCCAGCTCCTCTTCGAGTCTACCCCGAAAGCAGCAGAGCCGCGGGATCCTGGCTGGCACAGGGCTCCTGTGACAGGGGCCTGCTCCACCAGCAGGGGCACAGGTTGAGCCTTGGTGGTCTCCTCTACATCCCCAGAGGCGCCCTCAATCAGGCTTCTAAAGCAAATTGCAGCAGACAGTGGGGCATGAGCAATGCAGATCCCCAGGCTCTGAGTCCTCCCTGGACTGCTGGGAAGTCCAGGCTCAAGGCTCCGCCAGGCCTGGAGTCCTGGTCACCAGAAGGCTGTCCTATCATGGTAGCCTCCCACGGCAGAGAAAAGAAGTGGGCTCCTTCCACTCTCTTCCAGGCCACTAATCCCATCACGAGATGCTACTCATGACCTAACCACCTCCCCAGTACTCCCTGTTTAAAATTGCACCTCCCAGGGGCCTGGGCATCAACCAACACTCATGGGGACACTGCCATGGGCCTGCAAGGTCATCATCACCTCCTTTGGATTAAAGCTGGTCCCAATCTCCGAGCATCAGACAGCTCCGTGAGCTCCTGCCAGAGATGCCTGTTGTGTTGCAAGCATAGTGTTACAGAAACTGTCACCTGCGATACCGAAACACAGCTTTAGAGATGTCAAATTAAGTGACCTTGTTCAGACACAGGGTTATGCAAAGCATGGCACTGGATGATTACAGAGGGGACTGACGTGAAGGAGGTTCCCATGCCATGTGGGTGTTGGGGCCAGGTGACCCTGTTCACCTAGCACAGCTTTGGAGCCGAGAGACCCCCAGGTGCCCTGGTCGTCCGCCACGAGGGTGCTATGGACATCGGGAAGGGTTAAGTGCTTTGTCTCCCTGGGGAGCCCTCTGCCCTGGCCGAGGCTTGCTGACCCTCAGCCACCAGGAGCCAAGCTCCTACTGACTTCCAGAACGAGGGCTGAACTTGTCAACCTAAGCCTTCTCCACCTTGGCTATCTCTCCTCTGTGGAGAGAGAGGCTAAGGGCACTCATCGACACTTAGAGCACCACCCGTCTGCTCCATGATGAGAAGACGGGTAGAGACCCAGCTGTGCACTAATGAAACACTGCTGCAAACAGGACAGTGTCAGCAGCCACACTCACTAGAGATGAAGTCCGTGTCTCTGTTTGCACTGGAGTCACCTTGGCAGTAGCCCACAATGACCACATGGCAGACAGAGCCACTACTCCAGTACTGAAGCACTGAAAGTTGCTCCATATTAGAAAGATTCCAGCAGTTAGGTATGTTTGCAAAACAATGGTGGTATTCTAATTGCCCGCAGACCATAGGGAATGAATTATGATATATTATTGGGCCATAACTTTATGTGTAGCAATATAATTGGGTTGAATTATTACCCTGTGTTCAAATACTGCCCATTCCTATTGCGTTTTGAAAAGTTATTTATGGGAAGGCTCTAAAAACTACTATTTGAATGTTTATAGTGGGTCAAAATGTTCTAAAATATATTTTCCAGGGTGGAAAAAATACATCATTACTGCTCTTAAAAAAAGGTATCTAATTTAGTAGAATTATGATTATATAAATCTACTTAATAAAAAACAATTAAAATCTGAAATTTGTGAATGAATGGGTTTCACATACAAATATTACACAAATGAACAAAAATATGCCTGGAAAGCTGTATAAACATCTGGCACAATTCCATGGCTGTCGATCTACATCGGACAGCAGACTCAGCTTGGGCTGGAAGAAACACACAGATTACTTAGCCTTCAGTTTCTGCACGGGACACAGGTCAGCCTGTGCGCTCCCCTGAAATACTAGTTTTTCTCTCAACTTTTGAATGTTTCTGCTTCATTTTCTTTTTCTTTTTGGTGAGAAGAGGATTGACTTTTCTGATCATTCTCATCAGAAAAAAAATTCTTATATTCGGTGAGCAGAAAACACAATCTGTGTTCTGAGTAAATTTTTTTTTTCACAATTTAATCACATTTTCCATGTTGCTTTAGCAATGCCTTAAAAAAATCCATAATGGGAGGATAGAAGCAGTTGGGCTCCTTTGTGCCGTAGAATGGTAAGTGTGCTGATTTTAGAAAGCCCTCACTCTTCCTAAGCAAGATTGTGAAGTAACTCCTCCCCCAAGGCAAACCCCACTGGCCATGCGGGGCCGCTTGCCCTGTCAGGCTGTAGACACCTTAGACAGCAGAGCTGAGCATGCTGGACTTCGGGCTGGAAAGAGCTGCTGTGTAGCGCATTCACTTTACCTAAGCTCTGCAGACCCCTGCCAGCCTCCGTTATTGTGGCTTTCATAAGTTGCTTTAAAATCCAGATGATCTGCAAACTTTAAAGATGGTCTTTTTCAAAGGCTGAGTTTTATTAAAAGCCTAGCATACATCTTGGTCCTACGTTCCAATTTCTCGGATCATTTCCCAGAGTTTTTGAAGTATATTTAGACTTTGGATACATTTCTGCATGCGTAGATGCCAGCTCTCTGTTACGGTCTGGATTTTATGTAGTTTACCGGATGGTGACAATGGCAGGGGAAATTGTGATGTCTTTTCATGAGAAGTGATTAAAGGTAGGCAAATCTCTGCGATCGTCTCCACGGCTGCCTGATAACAGGGCTGTGTCCACTGTGTCCTCGCCTGCTTTGATCAGTCACCCTCAGCCAGCCTCATCATGGGGAGCCTATGTTCCAAGGAGGCAGCCGAGTATTCTCTAGTGACATTTCCCGATGTCACCGTTGGGTTTCTGAAGTCTAAAGAAAATGAAAGAGAACAAAACTCTGGATAAATCCTGAGGGACATCAAAGCACTACAGAAAAATAGAATGAAACCAAATTCAATTTGGGGTTTTGATCTTCTAAGATTTGAACAAATAGAGAGGCTGCAGAGGTATACTCTTAAACAGCTACTTGAAAAGTGTATACGCTGCTATGTTCTGGGGAGAAGTTTTCTTATGGAGCCTGTTTTGGGGGCCTCTTCATCTGAACTGGATCTAACTAGCAGGAGGGTGGTCACAAGAGAAGAGAGTGACCAGCCCAAGAGGGGCCCTCTTAGTGTCCACCAAGGAGCAATTTTAATATTACAAAAGTACGCTGAGAGCCTGTTATGGTTTGTGTCTAGATGTTCCCCCAAACCTCATGCAGTCATGGGGCACAGCGACCTTTTCAGCAGTGGCTGGATCTAGGGTGTATAATTGATTTGTGGTCCGATGCTGGGATTAAGGAAGGACTCTGGGATTAAGGGGGGTGATTCCTGGATCAGTCCACTGATTGCACTGGCACTGCCTGAATCCCAGTAGACTGGAAATGGTATATGGGACTGAAAGAGGCTGGTCCCTCTTTTTTCTGCTGCTTGTTTTCTGTGTGATCCCACCACCATGCACTGTTGCCCCTGTGCCACACCACCCTGCCTTGGAGCCAGGGGATTTGGGGCTGAAACCTTACAAACTGTGAATAAACTTGTCCTTCTTTAACTTTGGGTGTTGGGTATTTTGTCTCAGCAACAAGAGAAAAGTAACTAAAACAGAGCCATTTTATATAAATAAGTAGCATACTCTTATGTGATGTAGGGACCTTGTTATTCAAAACAATTAAACTGCATTTTGTCATTGGAAAACCATTGTGATTCCTCTGGGCTTAGCAACTATACCCAAAGTGTGAGCATCCAGGATAACAAGAACAATTCTCTTAACAAAATAAAATGGAGGTCACATAAATCCACAGAATCCTGGCCACTAAAGGTGTCAGGGCTGAAAAGCAGGAAATTACAGTCGACTTCCTGTCACCACTGAAGTGCTCTTAGGAAAGCAAAGCAGCCTGAGACTAGTGCAGGGACCTTCCCAACCCAGAGGAAGCAGAGGAGCCCTGGG